CCTAATTTGGCTACTTCGTACAAAAACATCGCTTTGGTATATAACAACATGGGAGCGTACTCGAAAGCACTTTCATATTACGAAAAAGCACTTGAAATTCTCAAAAGAACTCTTCCTTCAAATCATCCTGATTTGGCTACTTCATACAACAGCATCGCTAATATGTATTACAATATGGGCGCGTACTCGAAAGCACTTTCATATTACGAAAAAGCGCTTGAAATTCGAGAAAAAACTCTTCCTTCAAATCATCCTAATTTGGCTATTTCATACAACAACATTGCTAATGTGTATCACAAAATGAGAGAGTACTCGAAAGCACTTTCATCTCACGAAAAAGCACTTGAAATTCAGAAAAAAACACTTCCTTCATATCATTCTGACTTTGTGCAATCATACAACAATATCGGAGGAGTGTATGACAGTATGGGAGAGTATTTGAAAGCACTTTCATCTCACGAAAAAGCACTTGAAATTCAGAAAAAAACTCTTCCTTCATATCATCCTGATTTGGCTACTTCTTACAACAACATCGCTAATATGTATTACAATATGGGCGCGTACTCGAAATCACTTTCATATTCTGAACGTGCTCTCAACATACTTCAATGTTCATTACCTTCAACTCATCCTACTGTTGAACATCTGAAAACGAATATTCAATTTTTAAAAAGAAATTATAAAGAATAGTTAATAAATAAAAAATGAATATTTTGTTCAATTATTTTTAAAATGATTCTATTTTCTACTGTCTCACGCGCGCGTACAGAGAACAACTCTGTAAATAATAAAAATATAGTGGGCAAAGCCGACTGATAAAGTAATAAACATACATAAGTATGTGTATAAATAACCTTCTCAGACATATTTACACTTTTAATTCTTTATGAGTGTTCCCTACAATAAGCGTAAAAGAAAAAAATATTATCTTAAATAGTGGTCGTGGAATAAAACAACCCAAAAAAAATAACTTGCACAGAATTGGATTATTAGAGTGTTGATAGAGCCCTGTATGACGAGGAAAAAGTTAAGAAAACTGAGACATATATATAGATATGTCACCAGCACATGGTATAACTGAATCAATCAGTTAGTAATCATTATTAATGAGATACAAATGAAAAGAATAAACATTTGTTCATCATATATTGAAGAATTTAAATATATTGAAGACATAACGAATTATAATTGTCGTTCTAAATTTTTAATGATTAATCTTTCATAATTCTTTGATCTTGGATTGGGAATGAGAAAGGTGTTGTTTGATAAGATGTCTTACAATGATTTCTCAGTATTTAATCACTACTGAAAACACCAGTACAAAGTATACTACTGTAGAGTAGAAATAACGACGGTGGAATCAAAAGAAATATTTATCTATATTTTCATTTACTTTGTTAAAAATAAATCCATTAGAATTTTTACTTCATTATTTATTAGTAGCAATCTGTAGAACAACTAACTAAGAATGAATTCTTGAGATTAGTATGAGACGGATTTGACAGAAGAAGTCATATTCGAAAGAAGTAGCAGTCTTGTAGATGTACGAATGAACTTTGACTTTTATATTTTTCATCGTGATTAAGCAATCTCACACAAGATACTGCAGAAAACGAATCACCATTCAATCTCATAAAGAAATTCTCATAGTTCTTTTTAAATGCATCATAATAGAACCAAATACTCATGAATATATATATATTACTAATTCCTCTTCAGTTAAACTTTAATCATTCTATGTTTCCTATATTTAATCAATTAATAAACTAAAAATTTTATCAAATTGAGAATTATTTATGGTATTTTTATGTATTATTTGTTAAAAAAACAAAGAGAATACGCCAGTTTGTCTATAAACTTCTCAGCCTATAAAAATTGAAGCTCTTTGATATATACAAAGTATTGTAAGACTCGCCTAAAATAAAATATTTCATTATGTCTACAATAATAATCAATGATGTATCAAAGTATTGGTCGAGTTCTTTGTATGGAGAACTGAATGTTCAGCTTTATTTAAAGTAAAAATAAAAATCATCTTCATTGGAATTATAGCACTGAGAGTTGCATGGCATGAAGATTAGTTAGAGATACACTTTTCGATTGTTGGACTTCAGTTGCAATTTCCATGAAAAGAGTATATCTATCAATTCCAAATATTAAGCTTCACCATTTTAGTTTTAGGTAAATCATTCTTCGAAAAAGAAAAATTCAAATTTGCTTATGTTTACGACATATGAATGAGGAGTTTTAGTCGTTTGCCTACATTTGTACTCAACATATCACTTTACTTATAGCATCACTTTAAACCAAGAATTCAGTGATACAATCTATGTACGGATTAATCCAGTAGTCATCAGTAACTCCAGAACATTTAGCAGAATCCGATGTATACTGTTCAAAATATTGCAGTACAAAACTCTACTCACCAATATCGAAAGGATCAAAAGATCCAGTTGCTCGAAAATTAAAAGGATTCAAAACGTTAGATGTATCGACTCTAAACTTTTCAGAATTTCTAATAGCTAATCAATCTTTCATACATCAAAAATTGCAACCTTGCAGCATTCGAATTGTCTTCGTCTCAGTAACATTTACTAGTACTTCCAAATGAAACTAATGTTTCCGAAACAATCTCACATGCATCCCGGTGAGTATAGAAACTGACATTTCTTTCTTTGGATATGATCACCGCAAGTCTTTCAATGGAAAATGTCGTTTCTATTGAAATCCTATGATAAAAACCAGCGAACTACTTCATAAATTTCCTTCTTCCTTCACTCCTCCCCGTTACAGAAACGCTACTAGACAGTCATCAATCAGTGATATAAGTAACATCACAGAAAAAAAAGACATTTTCAACAATCGCCACAGCCCTGTAGGGTCTACTAACTATAGATACAAAAAAAAAACTCCTATTGCTACAAGATATTACATATATTCGTTGAATCAATAAAAAATCTTATAAACATTAAAAGTGAAAACATTCTTGTTTGTGGTTGCTACTGTTAGTAATGATTTTCATCAATACATTATTTTCAGTCCTGTATTTTTTACGCATATTTTTCGAAGTTGTTTCTTTCCATCATCACCGATTTGATTGAACTCGAGATTGAGTGTGGTGAGTATCTGTGTGAAAAGTATGTGAATGATGAAATGAAGTCAAAAGGAAAAAAAAGAAGTGTTGTTATTACTTTGTTGATTTCTAAAGCATTGACAAGACATTGTGCTCCTTTAACATCGATATCATTGCATCTGAGGTTGAGTGTCGTAAGTGTCTGTGTGAAAAGTGTACGAATGATATAGTGAAGTAAAGAGAAAGAAGAACAAGTATTGTTATTACTTTATTGATTTGCAAAGCATTGGCAAGATCTTCTGCTCCTTCATCCCCGATTTTATTGCTTTCGAGGTTGACTGTGGTTAGTGTCTGTGTTAAAAGTGTGTGAATCATGACGTGAAGTAAAAAGAACGCAGAAAAAGGATTGTTGTTACTTTGTTGATTTGTAAAGCATTGGCAAGATATTCTGCTCCTTTATCACCGATGCTGTTGTTTACAAGGTCCAGTGTGGTGAGAGTCTGTGTGAAACGTGTGTGAATGATGAATTAGAGTGAAGAGAAAGGAGAACAAGTATTATTATTACTTTGTTAGTTTGTAGAACATTGGCAAGATCTTGTGCGCCTTTAGCATCGATTTTATTGCATCCGAGTTTGAGTGTGGTAAGTGTCTGTATGAAAAGTGTGTGGATGATGAAGTGAAGAGAAAGAACAACAAGTATTGTTGTTACTTTATTCATTTGTAGAGCATTAGCAAGATCTTGTGCTCCTTGATCACCAATTTCATTGTAATAAAGGTCGAGTATGGTGAGTGTCTGTGTGAAAAGTATGTGAATGATGAAGTGAAGAGAAGAGAAAGAAGAACAAGTCCTATTATTACTTTGTTAGTTTGTAGAGCATTGGCAAGATGGTGTGCCCCTTTAGCGCCGATGTCACTCCAACTAATGTCGAGTGTGGTGAGTGTCTATATGAAAAGTATGTGAATAATGAAGTGAAGTGAAGAAGAACAAGTATTGTTGTTACTGTGTTAATTTGTAGAGCATTCTCAAAATATTCTACTCCTTTATCACCGATTTTATTGGATTTGAGTTTGAGTGTGGTAAGTGTCTGTATGAAAAGTGTGTGAATGATGAAGTGAAGAAAAAGAAGAATAAGTATTGTTGTTACTTTGTTAGTTTCTAAAGCGCTGGCAAGATATTCTACGCCTTTAGCATCGATGCTATTGTGTACAAGGTCCAGTCTGGTGAGTGTCTGTGTGGAAAGTATGTGAATGATGAAGTAAAGTGAAGTGAAGAAGAAGAAGAACAAGTAGTATCGTTACTTTGTTAATTTCTAAAGCGTTGGCAAGATATTCGACCCCTTCAACACCAATTTCATTGGATGTGAGGTTGAGTGTGGTTAGTGTCTAGACAAGAAGTATGTGAATAATGAAGTTAAGTGAAGAGGAAGAGGAACAAGTATTGTTGTTACTTGGTTGATTTTAAGAGTATTGGCAAGATCTTCTGCTCCTTTAGCTCCGCTGTTATTCTGTTGTAAGTTGAGTGTAGTAAGTGTCTGTATGAAAAGCGTGTGGATTACGAAGTGAAGCAAAGACGAAGAAGAATAAGTATCGTTGTTACTTTGTTAATTTGTAGAGCATTAGCAAGATGTTGCGCCCCTTTAGCACCGATATCATTCCAGTAGATGTTGAATGCGGTGAGTGTCTAGAAAACAAGATTATGTGAATGATGAATTAGAGTAAAGAGAAAGAAGAACAAGTATTGTTGTTACTTTGTTGATTTGTAGAGCATTTGCAAGATAACCTGCTCCTTCAGCACCGATTTCATTGCGTGCGAGTCCTAGGGTGGTAAGTGTCTGTGTCAAAAATGTGGGAACGATGAATTCGAGTAAAGAGAAAGTAGAAAAAGTATTGTTGTTACTTTGTTAATTTCTAGAGCGTTGGCAAGATATTCTGCTCCTTTATCACGGATTTCATTGAGTGTAAGCTCAAGTGTAGTGAGTGTCTGTGTAAAAAGTGTGTGAACGATGAAGTGAAGTGAAGAGAAACAACAACAAGTATCGTTGTTACTTGGTTGGTTTTTAGAGCATTGGCAAGATCTTGTGCCCCTGCAGCACGGATTTTATTGTTAAAAAGGTTGAGTGTGATGAGTGTCTGTATGAAAAGTATGTGAATGGCGAAGTGAATTGAAGAGGAAGGACAACAAGTGTTGTTGTTACTTTGTTAGTTTGTAGAGCATCGGCAAGATATGCTACTCCTTTATTACCGATTTCATTGCCTATAAGGATGAGTGTGGATAGTGTCTGTGTGAATGATGAAGTGAAGTAAAAAGGAAGAACAATAAGTATCGTCGTTACTTTGTTGATTTGTAGAGCATTGGCAAGATGTTGTGCCCCTTTAGCACCGATTTCGTTGAATCTGAGGTCGATTGTCGTGAGTGTCTGTGTGGAAAGTGTATGAATGATGAGATGATGTGAAGAGAATGCAGAAAAAGGACTGTTGTTACATTGTTGATTTGTAGAGCATTGGCAAGATCTTCTGCTCCTTTAACTCCGATTTTATTGGAATCGAGGTCGAGTGTGGTGAGTGTCTAGATGAAAAAGTATGTGAATGATGAATTGGA